TCTCTCCCGTGCAGGCCCATGAGCTTCCTGTGCCTGGGGTGCTGTCTTTCCCTTACCATGTTTTTGCCCCCTGTCCCCTGGTAATTCCTCATTCACCCTTCAGGTCTCAACTGAAACAAGCTCTGCAGGGAGGACTTCTGACTCCCCCAGGCAGGGTTAATCATTCCCTCCTCCAATAATAGCATCCCATACAAACACTGCTATTCCATTGCATTATACTTCCTAATTTGTTCCCAAGTCCTTCTCCCCCAGGGACAGCAGGAGCCTGGAAGGCAGAGACTTACCTTACCCAGTACTGTATCGCCAGCCACTAACGAGGGTATGACACACCCCAGGATTGGGGTGAATGACGGAGGGGCTATAGGTAGCCCCGGCACTGTCAGCAAAAAGGGAGGCCGCTCAGCCTAGAGAGGTGCTTCCCAGTCATCAGCCCTGCCCCGGGAGGCTAGGTCACCCTGCTTCAGAGGAGCCTGACCCATGGGAACAGAAGTGCTGCTGACACGGAGGGAGCATCGTTCCTTCTGCAGGGCGGGGTTGACCACAGGTGCCTGTCCCTGAGCTTCTGTGGCGCTGTCCAAAGCAAGAGCTGATCTCACACAGGGAAACTGAACCCAGCGCAGCAGATTCAAATCTGCACGAAGTCAGACACTCCCGGTGAAAAGCTAGTTGTCAGCATCACCTCCCACGGGCCCGTACACACTGTCCCGTTCACTGGCCACAGGCATCTGGGTGGTGGGCAGGTCAGCACAATCTCACCAAAGCCTCAAATCCAGAATGAGGCACTGGGCCAGGGAATCATCTGGCCTGAGCAACAGGCAGGGGTTTTGTCTTTTTTTCCTTCCACCCCCGCACCACCATTATAGCATCCTCAATGCCTAGACCAGTCCCTGGCACACCCTTGATACCCATTTAACATTTGCTGAATGAATGTGTGACTAGGGGCCCCCACAGGCCACTAAGGGTTGACCTGGTTGGGTGGGACTCTCAAGAGGCAGGCTCATGTGTGGGTACTGTTACAGTTGTCTTCTTTTCTACCCTTTCTCCAGCTAGGGCTCAGCCTCTGTCTTAGGAAATACTGAATATTAAAGAATGCTTGTTACAAAAGATACAAAATCATTGGGGAGCCTGGGGTGACCACATGCCTCCGCTGAGTCTCGGCCTTGGTTCGTCCAGGACCATTTTTGAAGAGCTAAGAAATGCACAAGGTTTTTTAAGGAGCGTTCCTACACTGTTCCTTCAGGTTGTTTCCATATGAAAAACCCCGGCAGGTGGACTATAACCATAATTTTCAAAGTTTGGCCATATGGGAAGGAAGCTAACATTTATCTAGTGCCAATCATACACCAGAATGTATAAACCAGACACTTCTTAAGTTAATCCTTATGGCTGCACTCAGAGGCAGGTGCCATACCTCTTTAGCAGATGGGAACTGAGGCTCAAAGGTGAAAGTAACTTCCTAAGATCACCCCGCCCACCTGTCACAGGCTGGCGGGCACCACGCCCACTCAACACCCAGACCCCAGATGGGATTCAGAAAACACTCTTGATTTTTAACAGAACCAAATCCTTTGGCTCAATAAATCTTCCTAATTTTTGCAGGGACTGACACATCCGATCGGGTGTACTACCTTGGCCTGCTACAGACGGCAAGAGGCCCTGGGACCTCTCCCAGGAGATAAGGTAAGGCTGCGATGCAGATTTTTCCTGAGGTCCCTTAAGCCTGGCTGTTCTATTTTGACTTCTGCACTCCTGACTGCAGTGGAAGTCAGAGGGATAATGAGCTGTGTAGGAGACCGAGCACATTCTGTTGTGTTGAACAGGCTCCTGATGAGAATAGCTTAACTCCCCTCGCAAAGGAGCTGAGTGCACGGTAGCACCACGGAGACGTTACAGGGAGGTAGGTGGGAATGAGCAGCACAGGACGTAAGAACATGTCGGCCCTGTCTGCTTAAAATAGCAAAAGCAGCAGCAAGACGCGCCTGCCGCAATTCTAACCTTGTTAAACTAAAAACATTCCTCAGGTCCTCTCGGGAACCTTTACTTCGCTTCACAAGGAAGGAGGTGAACCATGGCCTTCCAGGTTGGTCTCCTTTGGAGGTTTTCCTGTTCCACTCTGCGTCTAACTGGCACATGAAAACAGTAGATATAACCTAGACACCAAGTAAAAATGCAGATGTTTGAAATGAGCTGGGTTTCTTTTTTTTTCTTTTTTAAGCTCTTCCTTTGAGTAAATCCATTAATAAACCTTTGACCTAGGAATTGCACTTCTGAGAATGAAAATAGGCTTCCTGGGAAAAAAAAAGATAGTTAAAAAAAAAAGAAAGAAAATGGGCTTCCTGGGTTCAGTCTGGCCCTGCCACTTACCTTGTACAAGGAAATGCCTGCATCTGTGCTTGTTTCCTCATCAAGAAGCTGGGCATAATAAAACGGTCTGCCCGTAAGGTGTTTTATAAAGGTTACACGAGACACCCCATGCATACTAACACAGCGCCCAACAGAAACATTGCCTGCTTATTATTGCCTTCAAGACCCACTCGTGAATATGTGCAAGGCTATGCACTGATGTTCACTGCAGCTCTGTTTACAATAATTTAAAAAAATGTAAAAATCCAAAATTAAGTGAATGACTAAGCAGAATGGCACATATCCAGTCCAGAAAGTTGATGGAGCCACTGAAAATTCTGGCTTTGAACATTATGTAATATTTTTAGATGCTATGATGAAATGAGTGAGGAAAAAAAGCCACACATACACATACACGCACACACAATTACATGTAAGGCATATTTTATAACTGGATAAAATAGAAAATATCCTAGAAGGAGGGTAAACAAGATTGACAGGAAGTCCATGAAAAATGCCCTGGGATGCATGAACTCGGGGTCCTTTTTGGTTCTCTGTTCTCTATTTTTCCAAGGTGTTTTATATATTTTTAAGAGTAAAAATATGTGAAATATTTAAAATGAAGTTGCTGTTGTTGTTGAATATAATCTGCCTTTAGGCTCAGCGGGTCGCAGAACTTCACGCAGTTTCTTTTACTGTGTTCAGAAAGGAAGACCCGAGGGAAGTAGGGTGGGCAAGATGATCTCCCAGGCGTGGGTTCTCTGGAAGCTTCAGCAAACAAGCTTTATCTAGGATCCACTACTATGTCCATGCCAGTTTCTCGTCCAGTTTCCTGCCGTCGCTATGACTGTTCTGGCCGACCCTTAGCCGGGAAGCCATTAAGGACGCGGAAGCCATGAGGCAGGCTCCAGGCCGTCTGTGAGAGCCAGCCTGGGTGTTCTTGTTCTCAGGGTTCAGTGTGTCCTAAAAACTTTCTTCTCAGTCTCTCTCCTCCAAGCCACCCCTCTGTCAGTCCCTGCTCTCCTGCTGTGAGCCCAGCGCTATGCTAGACGCGGAGGGCCGAGCTGGAGCTGCAGGTCCGCCTACAAGGGGTGAGCCCCCGGGCCACAGCGGGAGCATTCAAGCAGGCCCAGTCCCGTGAGGGAACAATAGTGCTGTGGAGTTAAGGGGTGGGCTCGGCTCACTGTGCACGGGGCCTGGGCCACCAGCACAGCAAAGGTGGCCTCGGACGGAGGTGTGGAATGAGTGAACATTTGCCAGGGTAGAAGGGCTGAGGTAATGGCATTCCAGGTCAAGGTCAAGGCCACAACAGGTACAAAAGCAACTACAAAAGCCCTGTGAGGGCCTGTTGGTGTGGGGGAAGGCCATGAAATTCACGGTGGGGCCAGCGTCTGTGGGGTGCAGTAAGGGGAAGATTGGGAGGAGTCAGTGTGGGAGGAGCCTGTGCTAAGAATGTTGGCCTGAGTGCAGGCTACCCGGTCAGTGGGTTTTTAAGGCAGGGGACAGACATGCTCAGATTCTCTTGTGGGAAGGTAATATTGATAGCAGAGTAGAGGATGAGCCCATCCGTGGGTGTGACCAGTGGCAGGGGGTACGAATGAGATGGCAGCTGTGGCCTGCCTGGAGCTTCTCAGGGGCTGCAGTGAGAAGAGAGGCGAGGACCAGACCAGGGAGTTGCGGCCGGGGTGGAGGTGGTAGCTCTGGCTGCCTGGTTGGACCTGCGGGGGCGGGAGACAGGACTCAAAGGCGTAAGACGCTGTAACTAAGAGAGGGAATGTCAGAGAAGTGGGCTGGTTGGGGGAGGGAAGGTAAGGAACGCGGTTTGGGACTGCGTACAATGTGCTGGGGGCATGTGGGCAGTGGATCAGAGAGGTCCGGCCTTCAGCGAAGCTTTAGGCTGGCGATACTGACCAGGAAGGTGACAGGATGAGAGTGGGCATTTGCTCTGGACGTAGGTGAGGCTACCCCGGTGGACGATGGACAGGAGAGCGGAATCCTTGAGAACAATCACGCTGCATAACACGCTGGCTTCTACGTGAGATCTGACGGCAGGTTGCACAGGGTGTATGGAGGCTCCAAATTGCATCAGCGGAGTTTTCTTTTCCACGCGCATGCCTAATTAAATTTCTTTCAGACCAAATTTTTTTGTTTGCTTTTGCTGACTAAAAATGCAAGGGTGTCCAGTGCACGTGAGACTTTGGAACTGGGCAGACCGGGTTCCTGTCCCAGCTCCCTGGTTCTGTTTCCCGATGGCAGGAGTGAAGCACATCCGACACTCGGAGTGGGTAGGTCTGCCATATGGTGTGTGTCTGGTTGGTAACCTCAGCCCTACAGCATATTATATAAGTAAAATTGAAAGTTTTTTTTCTGGTAAAGATACATCACTTATAATATGTATACTCTTTAGGTCCCAACTAACATATTTTACAACAAACTGAAAATGTGTGTTGATTAACGTTTGAGCTGGCTCTGGAATTCCAATTATTAAAAAGGGGACTAGAATGTTCTAGATGACAGGACACATTTGTTTTTCTTCCCATCCTGACTTTTCAAAAATAAAAAAGTCTGGTGTACAAATTACAAATGCCAGATAAACTCAGGCTCTCAGAAGTGCATGATCATGTTCATAGTCTAATTTAGAGACAGTGGAACAAATCCAAGTAACAATTTTATTCTAGTTTACAGCCACAGTTTTTTTTACATACATTTTAGTGGTTTTGACAGTGTTACTTTTGAGCAAACTTAAATGAATCCACAAAAGTTAATATATTAAAAATAAAATACACACAATAAAACAATAGGCATCCAAATGTTCAGAATCATGCAGGTAGGGGTGGTCTGGTTGGTGTTATTACTGAGTACCTCGCCCATTTAAAACTTCACCAGCGAATATTAGTTCTTCTGTTCTTCACTCCCATATAATTCACCAAAATGAGAGAATTCTAAACATACATGCACAAAATCAATAAATAAGCCTCAATGTAACAACAAACCAGTAATTCCATTGATCAAACCCAGTAGAAAATAGTCAATATCAGCACCTGATCTAAAGGCGAGGTTGTCTCATTTATTAAAACACCAACAGGAGATTAATCAACAGAGCAACTAATATGTTAATCTTAATATAAGACACTGAGGGAAAAAAACCAAAAATAATACATTTAAATACCACTCCACTGAGCTAGCATGTAACTCATGGACTACAGACACATGAGTTTCTATCTGTCAAACAATGCTTTAAATATTTTTCTATCAAAAAAAAAGGAAAAAGGTCCATCTAGAGGTGTAGAAGGTAGAAATATGGATTTATGCATCTAATTCCACAGTTTAAAAATGAATATCAAACTGATCATATAGAGCTAAGCGACAATGACTTCACCACCGGGCACCAAAGAGGCAGGACCACTATTCACTGTAACTCCTAACGCTCTTGGGGAGTTTTCAGTGGATGGCCAACCCAACAATATGGTAATGCAGACTGAGCGCCCATCCACTGCTGGAAAAGACCCTGAAGAGGACATGGCAAAGGCGCAGAGAAAAAGTGGAATCTTTTGAAAAAGTTAATGATATCAAAATACTTTTCCATCATTAGTAAACCAAACTAGGTCAAGTTTATGGCCCAAAGCAGCATGAAATTCAGAGTCAGAGGTTGGCAGAAAAAGTCTGGAAAACTGCAGTTTTTAAAAATTGGCAATTTCTCCATGGCTAATAAAACTACCAGAAGAGGTATAATGTTTGTTCGTTTGTGGAATGTTGACAGCTTGCTGCAAAAATTCACATGGATGAGGAACTGCGGAGATGCACGTCAATGGAACATTTTTTAAAAATTTACAAAAAACTAAAGTTACTATTTAAAAAATAACCATGTTATGCCAAGATGAAACATGGTAAAAGTAGTGTAACTTCTGTCCATGATTCTTTACATGGCTGATGGGAAAGTGATACAATTTTCTCTTAAAAAAGGAAGCTTTGCTATTGCACTGACTTTGACAACCTGACCTAGTCATTTAGAAAAATCATGTAGTAAAATCTGTAAAATTAAAATACAAAATTCTGGTTTGTAAACATCAGTTGGCCAAGTCTATCCAGAGTCTTGCATGATAGTGGAATGGAATGAATAATTAATTCACTAGCTTATTTATTTGTTCTGGAAAATTGCAGAACAAATAAGTACAGCATCTATACTTTCACAGTAATTATATTCAAACTATATAAAGAAAGTCAGTGCAGCTGTCTTCTTCTTTCTTTTTTTCTCCTGTGCAATATTCAGCTTTTACCCTACTCCCAACTGCCATAATTGAGATAATACTGGTTTGGAGACCTAGTATACAGACTGGTCATAAATGTCGCATAAAGTCTGTAGGACTTCGGTAAAGATATTTCCAAATGGCATAGTAATGCACTGCAGCTGCTGTGGCCACGAACAGGTGCCAGATGGCATGGGCAAATGGGATAATGCCATCGCTCTTGAAGAACACAACTCCTAGGCAATAAATTAAGCCCCCACAGGCAAGTTCGTGAAGTCCATCGGTGTTATTCTGTCAACAGAGGAAACAAAAAGGTTTTGATGTTACTCTGACGTGACAAGCTAAAGAAATTAATTGCAATTTCCCCTAAGCCTCCTAATTTTCTAGACAGCAAAGTAACTCTGCAGAGACAGATTCCTGATCTGTATATATGAATTAAATCTAGAAGTCTCTCATACCTTCACCTCAATTACCCTTTGGGCTGAACATCATTTTTTTAAAATTGACTTTAGAGAGAGAGTGACAGAGAGAGGAAGGGGGCTGGGAGAGAAACATCGACTTGTTGATCCACTTAGTTATGCGGATTCATTGGCTGATTCTCCTGTGTGCCTTGACTGGGGATCAAACCCACCATGGCTTATTAGGACGACACTCTAACCAACTGAGCTGCCCGGCCAGGGCCGGGCTGAACACCCTGATGCAACCAAGCAGGCAGGTACAGGTCCCACAGTACAGAGCAGCACATTCTGCTCACCTCCGGCACGTCTAAGCAGGCTGCAATTGCATCCAGGCACTGTAGTTTGTTTTAATGTAGTATAACCCTTGGCTTGCATCTTCCCCTTTAAAAGCTGTCTTCCCACTAAGGCATGCCCACACCACTCCATTTATAATCTACCTATCAGCACGAGTTTCCACTTCCCTTTGTCCCCCTCAAGCTCTGTTCTACAATGACTGCTTTCTTAAGACTTCCCCTGCCTGTGTGTTTATGACTTCCTTAAAGCTGACACAGTCAAGTCATAGCTAGAAGTGACCTCAAAGACCAGGGAGCATATAGTACAACATATTTTCTACCCTTTCTGATGTGGCCAGGGCTTTTTGCCTTTGAGCCTGAACTGTTCTTAGCTTAGCAGGAAGTTAACAGGCATGTGTGCTTTAGCACAAAAAGGAGAAAGTTTAGGCCACTCTTGGTTTTCAAAGACCTAGACCCATCTTCAAGGTTAAACTTGGCTGTATGAATGGGAAGAGAGGCAGGGCTTAGGGAGCTGATGAAACAAGTCAGTCCCCTGGATTCCCGGGCACCAGGAACAGAAAGGTCTTGCATTCTGCAGGGGAGGCGGAAACCTAAGCCAGATGGAGGCAAGGCCTCGGCGGGGGACAGGTGTGTGGGTGTCCCGGAGGCCTGGGCACTGACAGCTGTGACCTTTTGAGCCTTGGAGCAGGTCCTGTGGCCAGTCTAGCAGGGACCATGAGGATGTCCTAATGCAGCGGCCTACTCGAATGGGCCCCATGGGCTTAGGCCCAAGCAGTGGCAGCAGCCAATGACCCTGACCTAAGAACCAGGCAGGAGGGTCTAGGGCCATGGGATCAGTCTTATCTTCAATGCTCTCATTAAGCCCCAAGACTTTGGTTGGATCGAAAGATGGGAAGGAAGCCAACTCCAAAAGACCATACCAGATTTCTCATTTCTCTTGGTAAGATGGAACCTGAGCCAGATTTATTTTAACACACACACACATACACACACACACAATTTTGTAAAGGTTTCAAAGCAATTAAGATTCATTAATTATGCAAAATTCTCTGTGTATGTGCATTAGGAGCATTTTTCTAGAGGTTGGTTAAGGCTTTCATTGGATCCTTAAAGAAGGGGTGTGACTAGCAAATGGCAAGAACCACTCGTCTAACATGACCTCCTTATTTTAGAGATGGAAAGAAAAAGACCAGAGGAAGGAAATAGCCTGAACAAAGTCACATAGCTGGTCATGGACCAAGGTACCGCTCTTTTTCATTCCGCTAAATTAATAAGCAAGAGACAAAACCAAATACATGGGTTGATTTTGATACATATTCTGTTAATAGAAAGTTGCTCAAGGAACTACATTTACCTTTCCAATTTTCCAAGAACCAAAACACAGTTAATCCTAAAACAAAACAAAATGTTTCCTTCATTGTCAATGTCATTATTGTGTTCCTATGTACCAGGCACTGTTTGAAGCCCTGAATGTATTTATTCATTTAATCTTCACAACCCTGAATTAGGTATTATTATTAGCCTAACTTTACAGCTGAAGAAACTAAAACACAGGATAAATCACTTGCCCAAGGCCACGTAACTTTTTAAATGTCAGAGGCAGAATTTGAATCAAGGTGTTTTGGTTCTTGAACTTACATTTTGGGGGTGGGGGGGTCATTTTAAAAATTGATGATTCATTTCCAATGTGTGATACATAGATTTTAAGTGAACAGTAGAAGTTTTGATCAATGTACCCACCTATGTAACCTATATATCTCTTGAATTACACAATTATCCCAACACCTCAGAAAGTTCATTACCCCTATCCAAGCCCAGACAACCCCCTTCCACTAACCATTTTCCTTATTCCTGTTACCACAGACTAAGTCTATCTGCTCTAAAACTTCACATGACAGAATTACACTCTATGTACATTTTGGCTTCTGGCTTTTTTGCTCAATATAACATCTTTGAAATTCATGCATGTGTTTATGTGTATCAGTCATTCATTCCTTTCTACTGCTTAGCATTCCATTTATCTGTTTAACATAATTTGCTTATCAATTCTTTTCATTTGGGGTCTTATAAATAAAATTAATATTGATGTTATTTTACAGGTCTTTTGTAGGTATGTTTTTACTTCTGTTGGGTAATACCATTTGAGTCCTAAGTGTTTAATTTTATAATATACTGTTAAGAAATTTTCTGAGACCTCGGGTCAAGATGGCATAGTGGCTGTACCAGTTTACCTGCCCCCAACAATGAATCAGGGTTCCAGTTATTTTACATCCTTACCAGTATTTGGGGTCAGTCTTTTTAATGTTCACCATTCTACAGGGTGTACAGTGGTAGCGCATCAATGTTCTAATTTTCATTCCCTTGGTGACTAATGATGTTGAGCACTTTTTCAAAGGCTTATTGGATGCTTGCATATCTTTCTTTATGAAGTCTATTTTCAAGTGATTTACCAATTTTTATAGAAGTGGCTTTTTATTATTGGAGTGTTTTATATATATGTTCTGTGTCAGATACATATAGAGAAAGCAAATAATTTCTTCAGTCTGTAGCTTGTCTGTTCATTTCAAGTTCATCGATCTTTACTTCTGCATTATCCAATCTGTTGCTGAACTCCTCCAATAAATTTCTTTCATAATATATCATGGTTTTCAGATGTAGAATTTCCATTTGGTTCCACTTTATAGTTCCACGTCTTTTCTGAGATTCCCCTTCTGTTCATTGTTTTAAAGCCCTTGTATGGTACTTTTGACATCTCTGTCATTTTGGATCTGTTTCTAATGATCTGTATTTCCTTTGATATGTGCATTATGTATTTTCTGCTTCTTGCTTATCTAGTAATACTTGTTTGGATGAGGATGCCAAGTTGTTAAAGAGTATAGACCTTGTTGCCTTCTTTTAAAGAAGGTTGAGTTTTGCTCTTCTTGGCAGCTTATTTACATAAGCTGCCAAGAAGAGCAAAACTCAATTACTGGAGAATCAACTGCATCCTTTCCAGTCTTGTTTGGGAGCTTAATTATCACAGTTCCAGCACAGTCTTCACTCTAGGGCTGGAGGAGCGCTTCTAAGGCATGGTGTCGCCGACTACCCGAGTTATTCGGCACCATCTTTCCACCCCTGCTGGTCGGAACTGATATCTCCCCCCACGAGGCACCCTCTGGAATCTCCATTTACCCCACAGCCTTCCCATAGCTGCCCTTGCCCAGGGCATGCAGAGTCCTTCCCTGCACCAACGCAGCTCAGTGTTCAGCCAAGGACTCACGGGAGCCCTGGAGACTTCCCTGTGAAGGTCCCTCCTCCTTGGTACCCTGCCCCAAACCACTGCTGGCTAAGCAGCTGAAATGCAGCTTCTGTTTCCTACCTCCGCACCCTGGGAGGCTACTCTCTGGCTCCACTTTTTCTGGGCGCAGTTTAAAAAGTGTCCCCAGGGAGAAAATGGGGTAATTTGAAGCTTATCTTTTGGTTTTTCTTCCCTCAAAGATCACAGTCCTGCACTGCCTGTATCCAATACCAAAAGTCTTTCACACATTTTCCCCCCAGTTTCATAGTTCTTTACGGCAGAAGGGCGGGTCTGAGAGCCATGATTCTCACCAGAACCAAAGCTTTGCATCATTGCTCATGCTGTTGCTTTGTGGGTTCCGATGGATTGTGAGGTCCTTTTTGGTCTGGTCTCTGTCTGGCTCAACACCTTGGTCACAATTTACCTGCACAATTAGTGCCCACCCTCCCCCCTGCCCGGCCGCCACCATGCATATACATCCTCAAACAAATACATACACACTCACGTTCCAAACAGTGAACTATTCTTAATTCTTCAAAGTGGCTCGTACATCCCCCTTCCTGGCTGTATCCTCTACCTATACCACCTGCATCGCTCCTACTCTTTTTAGGCTCCTACTTGCCTTTCTGAATCAGCTCAAATATTACTTCCTCTGGTATATCTGTCTTGTGCTCCCATAGCAACCTGTGGTTTCCCCAATCAAAGATGTTATAAAACTTTATTACAGCTTATTTCATATGAATTGTATTCTTTTGAGATAGAATTTTATTAGAGGAACAACTTTAAATAAGTTTATTACCTCCAGAATGTGTTTTACTATATAAGCTGCTGATCTTTAACCTGAAACCATGCAGAAATAGAGAAAACAAAAAGATAAAAGAAAAACTAGCTCTGGTTGGTGTGGCTCAGTGGACTGAGCACTGGCCTGTGAACCAAAGGGTTCCTGGTTTGATTCCTGGTCAAAGCACAGGCCTGGCTGCGGGCCACGTCCCCTGTTGGGGCTGTATGGGAGGCAACTAATCGATGTGTCTCTCACATGTTGATGTTTCTCTCCCTCTCTTTCTCCCTTCCCCTCTTGCTCAAAATAAATAAATAAATAAAATCTTTAAAAAAAAAAAAAAGAAGAAAGAAAAGGAAAACCAATCATGAAAAATAAAGTACATGAATCTTTAGGGAATGCAATACTGTAGAAAACTATGTTTTTTAAAAATTAAATTTACTTGGTGACATTTGTTAATGAAACGGGTTTCAAGTGTACAATTCTATAATGCATCATGTATGTATTTCATGCTTGATTCTAAATTCTGTGGGGGCAAGTGTGGGGATTATCCTGTTTGATTATAATATTAGCCACCTGCTACTTAACCACTTGTAAAAATGCCAACAAGGCTAATAAAGATACTGGATAAACCAGCTCTTATGATACCCAGAGGGATTTACTTGAAGTTCTTCTCCAAGGCCTGATCACCTGTCTCCAAAGACCTTGCTATATTGCTTCAGGTGTCCTCAGTTGCCCTTTCACCATATAGCATTCAAGACAGATTACCTCCTTTCAGCCCTTCACCTCCCTCCCTCCAGTCCCGGTTGCTTTGGTGCTAGGTAAAACTGTTCAAGCCGTCATAAACCTCCTATCTCAAAGAACATATTTTATTATGTTCTCATAAGGCATATTCCCTGGAAAAAAAATAAGCAAACCTGCAACTCCTAAATCTTTTAAAGGTGTTTTTGTGGCCAAGCTAAGAACTACGTACAGTAAACTGCATTGCTATGAGGTGCCTATGAGCTCAGGAGTGAAGTTATAGGAGCAGTTCTGACCACGGCAGGCTGAGAAGGGAGTCCAGACTGAACGCTCTGTGACTTCCTTGGTTAACACAGTGGCCAGCACCAAAACTCAGAGGAAGACACTGGAGTACACAAGCTACAGGCACAAGTAACCAGCTGGATGAAATCTGAGGTTGTGATGATATGTTTTTGCTTCAAGTTGACATATACACGTAGATTTCTCAATGGTAATTTGGTTTGAAAGGGAGTTCAACATGTACATGTGCAACTGCCTACCACAGGCGATGTGACACTTTCACCCATCAAAGTCCCCAAGGGAAATTTTCAAGCAGAGTTTAAAAAACAGCACTTTCCTGAGAAAGAGAAATAATATGACTTATACTAAGTGAGAGGAAAAGTAAGGTGCAGAGATTTCTGAAATATCCAATAATGTTGAACCTTTCAGGTTCTTCCAATTCTTAGGGTTTAAAAAGTGAGTAATTTATATTTCCTCCATTGTAAGAAACCTCAGAATGTGCCCTCTTCCATGGATTTAGGGTTAAGACACTAAGGAATACCCACCTTCACATAACCTCACACCTGTCTGGGGGGAAGAGTGGGAGCAAGGGTGGGGTGAACAGAAAGGTTACCCCAAAAGAAACAAACATAGGCAGTTACCACATAGAAATAAGCACACTTAAGTGTATATTTTTTTTCCAAACTATAAACAATAGCTAGTATAAGTTGCTGGCAGTTGGTCATTTACGCATTTTTTGAGTCTCTAGTTAATGGACATACAACTTCAGAAAGAAATGCTACATATATCTATAGACAGGTTATGAGTCCTAGTGATTTAAGACGAAATAAGGTGAAATAACTAAAATTATGAAGATGTTTCTTACCATTGACGTCACCACCAAAGCCGGAGAGAACCCCATTGTGAGATAGAAAAAGAGCTCAACCACCTTATACCTGCAGATGGAAACGCAGTTAATTTAATGTGTCTATTCCTACAATACTTAGACCATTTTCATATCAGTTTTTCCTCTTTTCTTTAAAAGAAAAAGGAAACTCAACTATTCAAATAAAATCTATTTCCCCCATAGGAGACCGTTAGGCCTCTAACTGAAACACTCTGGCCGAGTAACAATAAACTAGCATTTCTTTTAGGATTTAAAAGGCATCAGACTCCAATGCCACCTGGAAAACGTTTTCTGCCAAAGGAGTTATTGTTGAATCCTCAGTCATTTAGTCATTTTCCCTTCCAATCCCAGAGCCTTTGCCTTCATTACCATTCCAATCCACTGCTACAGGAGACTGAAATCGGGAAGGTGGGCAAGAGTGCAGCCTGAGGCCTAGCGTATCAGTAGCAACGGAACAGTGGCTCTAAGAAACAGAGGGCGTGCACTTTTTCTTTGTCTCTTTGTTTTGCATCTGCACAAAAAAACTCCAATTGGGAAGGCTCATCATCACATCAGGCTACAGAATATCTGAAACTTAAGAAATTATATTGAAATTCCACTTACATTTCTGCCTAATCAAACTAGACCTTAAGTTCCTCAAAGGCAGGGGCCGAATTTATTTACGTTTGGATCTGCAGGGCCTAGAGCAGCACCTGGCACAATGCAGGAATTCCCTAGTGCCTGCCAGACCGAGTGGCCAAGTGTGACTCGCATCTCATTCTTAGTGTTTTATACTCAAAGTCCACCATGAAGTAGTCCTATCAGGGAACCGGGGAAGAAGAGGTTTGTAGGCTTGGTTGACATTAGCAGGCCTGAAATAGGAGAAAAGATAATTGTCTTATAAATTACTTCCTATCTTATCCAAGGATATAAATTAGGGGTTTGAGTTCAAGAAGCAGTTTCCTTGGATTTACATATACTGTATAACACCACTCAGAATTGTTAATTATGGTAAAAAAATGCATTGAAGTAAATTTCAAAGTTGGAGGGAAGTGAGCAAAAACTACCATTTTCTTCTGAAAAGGAAAAACAATGCAATGCTTTGTGGTAAACAGCAATTATGTTCAATTCTGAGAACCATTCTGCCAACCACAATAGATAAAGAACTTAATAAACTGTATCCAATGACAATGATTTCATGGGTGTGAGTTTCTCAAATTCAGGCATGTGGAATAATGAGAAGAGCTGTGAAATAGGAACTAGGACACTTGGGTCCTAATTGCAGATGAGTCACTAATTAGATGCATGTCCTAAATGTTCTCATTTTTTAAGCATGAAGCTGGAATAGATGACTTTGAAGATCTCCTCTTGAGCTAAGATTCTAAATATATGTAAGTTTTCCTTCTGATAACTGCTTAATACTTAGGACTACGAGCTACAAAGAATGAATTTTACAAATGTGTCCCATGGTTAGGACTGAAATAGGAGAAAAGTTTATATGCCCTTCGAAACATCCCCCTTCTCAGGGGATCCTAGTTTGGAACATCCTCTAGGTTCCTATCTAGGTAGGTGCTGTGCTGGGCACTTATGAGCTTCAATCTTCACAGGAACCTTACAAAGCAGTTATTTTTCTCACATGATAACTGTCAGTCAGAGTTGCTAAGGCTGGTCTGCTGCTAAGACCAGTCTTCCTGCGGATGTGAAATGAGGTCCAACTGAGTCTAAAATGATCGTCCACCTTGTCCCTCAACTGCACCACACTATACACGTGCCACCTACTTCTTTCTGCAGCAATCTGCCCACCAACAATGAATACCAAATGGTTCTGAAGATATGTTTAAAGCAATATATTTTCTATTTATGTATTTCTACTATTTGGAAGTGCAAATAGTTTAAAACAATATATTTTCTATTTATGTATTTCTACTATTTGGAAGTGCAAATATAAATTGTGATGGAGATAAAATTTCGGCAGTTCTTTTTAAAAGTATCAAAGGTAAATTATTTTTCTCTTACTTTTCATGGTAGAGAAATACATAAATGGTTCCTCCAGCTGCCATGAGCCAGATAAACCAACGCATATGAGATGCCAGGGGTCCAAGTTCACGGAGATTTAACCTAAAAATGTAAACATGACAACAAAGAAAAGAAGTGATAAATGAACGGAATTTGTAGAGCCTGTGCTTTCCCTTAGTCTCGAAAGTTGGGATAGGACCAGGGAGAAAGGACACTCAGCACCCCTGGGGGCATTTGGGTTAGCTGGCCCACATTGAAAACTCAAGGATAAAACTGTCATCTCACCTCGAAGACTTAGACTAGTTCCAATGTGGTTTAAAAAGAGAACTCGCTCACAGGAGATACGCGGAAGTGAGTCCCCGCGCACTTGTGGGGCCCGACTTCCCTTCGTAGGCAGCCCGCTTGCCCTATTATTTCTGACGATGTGTCTGAGAGCAGATTACTCACACATCTTAGTGAGAGCCCTGAGCACGGTCCTGGGCAGGGATCACATAACCACAGCAGAAACCTAATACTCAGATCCAGGGTCTCCACTATCAACCTCTCTTCCAAGAGGGAACATGAGAAGAATTAGCCCAACATATGTTACAGAAGACATTTTATTAGAATTGTACCATGGACTCTTGGGAAGCCTGAATGTTAAAATGCTGCAAATACATTTATACTAATTCCATATGAAGAATATAAGAGGAAAAAAAAACAAGTGTTCTGACTGGGTATGACTATAAAATTTCCGAATGGAAAAAGTACTGCCTGCATGTCAAAGATCACATGTGAACAAATTGCTATAAATATTTGATTCCTCAGCCTACATTTAAAATTTTTATTGACTTACTTTAAATTGAGGTATACTTCACAAAAGCCTTTAAGTGTTCTCCCTCCAATATAGTGCAGACCTGTAATTTAGTAACAGGTGCTGGAGAGAGATAGCACTTACTTTTTACTCCAATAGGTAATTAGGTTTCTCTTGAATGATAGATGCCGAATTACTCAGAATCTAGAGGCATGCTATTTCTAATGACTATGTTAGTTGATGGCATAATATGAATTTCTGAGTGTTTAAAACTGGCCCATGTCTTGATGAGGAACACAAATGTTTAATTACAGGTTCCAAAGCAACAAAAGATTCCATCTGATCTCTGTACCAAAAGGGTAGGAAGATCATGGAAACTGACCAGAACACTAGATATTTTAAATAGCTAATAAATTTGGCTAGGTGTCTTACTCATATAGCTAAGAAATGAGAAATGAACTATAAATATACTAACTCCTGTGCTGCAAACTGAAGACAAACAGTATAAATTGCAAACCTGCGCTTGTTTTCCTCATGCATATTTATAGCATTTCTACTTAAACAATGAGATGTCTAAGTATTCTGAGCAGCAGCAGCAGTATACAGAAAGACTAAAGAAGGCAAATGTAACGGATTTCAGAAATAAGGGAGCTGCCTACACACAAGTTCATAGCGCTTCTCTTGAACGATCCAATGCCAGATACATATTTTGAACAACAGCAACATTCTCCCCCTAAAATCTGCATTCTCACCCAAGTCAGTCAAAATGGGACAAAAATTGCACATACGCATGTGTGTTGTGGGGAGCGGGGTTGGGTATATGCATGGAGGCTGGACACAGGGACAGGGGTAGGGAAAGAAAGAAGGACAAGGAATTCTATCCTAAAAAAACTATCTTCAAACATAGAAAGACGGTATCTTACCATGGCGCGTAAGAAGCAGCGATGAAGAAATAGATCACCATTCTATCACACATATGGAAGCAATGCTCCACGGTCCTAAGGGGGAGAAAACTAAGTTAGACAAAATTTACGGAAAGTCCGACCGGAAGTATCACTCCCCTGTGCTGCAATCTCCATCCTTGCCCTCGTTTCTCGTGGCCTTTATAACCTGGCCTCGGAAGTCAAACAGCTGTTTTGAATCCTATGAAGCCACAAGTAAGGGCTTTCTATTATTTTTAAGATTGCACATGCAAGACATACTCACCATGTATGAGATACAGGGACAAACCCCACAATACCCAGGAACTCTTAAGTGGTTAAAATAAACAAAGAAACAAACCCTGTCTTTTCTGATGTTTTCCATTTTTTCAAATCCTATGTAATGGAAAAGTAGAATTCTCTGAGGCTCTGAGGGCAGGTCACCCTCGGGCCCCTGTCACAGTGCAGGCGCGAGGCGGGGATGCTCAGCCAACACTCCCTGAGGTCGCAGTCTCCATGTCTTTTCAGAATGTTGCTAGAGAAGCTTTTACTTCAAATATCTTAGGGTGCCAGGGGTGTCCGAACTTCCAGGACGGCTGTGACTGCGGCCCAACACCAAATCATGAATTTGGTTAAAACATTGGGGGTGGGGTGTGTGTGTGTGTGTGTGTGTGTGTGTGAGAGAGAGAGAGAGAGAGAGAGAGAGAGAGAGAGAGAGAGAGAGAGAATGAATGATTTAACATGTGGCCAAAGACAACTCTTCTTCCAGTGTGGCCCAGAGGTGGATGCCCCTGGAAGACAAGAGTTGTAGTAAAGGAAATTCATATACGGACTTAGGAACAGCAATTAAAAAAACAGAGAGAGAGAGATTTGCTTCAAGACAGTGGCCACCTGGATTTCTAAGCAAGTTCCTCCTTCCAAAACTGGAAAGTCAGGAGATGGGCAAAGGTCTGGCTCACCAAGGTCTGTTCACAAAATGGGACTAGACAATATCCGCCCCTCACTGAGGAAATTTTAAAGTACAAATACATCGCACCGTCCTGAACCCATTTTCATTGTCCAAGGGGTAGGAGCTATGACTTGGTGAAGCACTGGTATTAGATTTTTGCCTCACCCTGCACGCAGTGGCGACCAAATCTGAGATGTTTTAGTCACAGTTAGTGTTAACGAAGTAGTGAAAATAATTTAGCTCACAGGTCTAAAAAGGCAAACACTACATTAATGCTTCTCAAATGGGACTGCATGTCAGAATCACTTGGGGAGCTTATGCTATCCGGTCATGAACTCCAGTCCACAAGATTTTAACTTAAAACGGCTAGAAGATGGGGCACAAGATAGAGGGAAGAGGAGAGGTTTTTAGTTTTTTGTTTTTTGTTTTTAAATTCCTAAATGACTACGATTCCTAGCCAGGTTCATGTCTTTCTAATTTTGTTCTAGATTAGCAACTTTCAACTGGTATGCCGCTAGAATTTTTAAAACCTGCAATTCCTGACTATCTAGTCGGGCGCACTGACCTCTTTTCCTATAGATTGTCAAATTAAACAATGACAGGAGCCAGCACAACAATAGTCACCCAGTGTGAATGAATCCAAATTATACCTATTTTTTTTTTTGTCACATCAGAAAAAAGTAAATTTTTTTGGTGTGCTGCAGAATTTTAGTAATTAGTTTATGTGCGCCATGGGCTGAAAGAGGTTGAAAAATCATTGTTCTAGATCATTAAGCACTGTTACAGCAGGTAAAGTCAGACCTGCAATTTTATTCAAGATTCTCCACTCACCGGTGACCCTCACTTTCTTCATATATAAAAGGGAAATAATAATGTCTCTATCAATCAAATCTGTGTAAGCATTAAATGAGATAATGTGGCCATATGTTTAGCACAGCACCCAGGTCATCGTAGGCACTCAATGAATAATATATCCCTTCTCTCTTTTACTTAAATTAAGGCAGAGCAAAAACCCACAGGTAAATTGTGCACCTGAAACCTAATTTTGTTAGCCAGTATCACCCCAATAAATGCAATAGAAAGGGGGAAAAATCCACACATGGATGATTATTCTAGCAGGTGCTATTTCAAGGTTCAAGAGAGTCTGGTTTCTAAACACCTTCTGCTCCAGCCCCTGGCAGGGAGGCCCTGAGTAGTGAAGCAGGCATCTACAACTCTTTATTGATTCAGAAATCTAGACATCAAAGCCAAGTCAGCTGAGGCAACCACAGTGTTGGACTGTGCCAAGAAGATAATGAAGTGTTCTGGCCTCTGGGCTCTGTGACAGTGTGTCCCGAGGAGCCAGGACAGGTCCTCTGGATGCTCTCGTGTGAATGTGCCCCATGGCTCTCTCGTGATCCAATGCTATGATTTTATTTTAAGCCAAGGGAACTGTCACCTCGCAGGCAGAGGTAGCAGACTGCATACTGTAAGTGATATTGTAAAAGATGGGAGAAAAAAAACAAACAAAAACCTCAAGACTGGGAGTCAGAAGTCCTGGGATGATCAGATTCTGCTGGTATCACTGACCCAGGCAAGTCAGGCCACACCTCTGAGCCTCAGTTTCCCCAGGTGAAAAGTAATGGGTTTGGATTAGGTGATCCCTCAGGACCCACCCAGCTGTTAACACTCTTTCAGAGTCTGATTCCACATGTGAGGAAACCAAAAATAGCTCATAAGCCCCAAATATGACTCTTAAAGTATACATTTTTACTCTTAGATTGTTTGAACAGTTCGAGATATTTTTGGACATTCTGTAAAACAAGAAGGTATGTTCTAATATCATTTTAAGTCACTATAAGTCTGCTCTGACGCCTCCTTTTCTGAGAAGAAATTTTGCCCTTTGGGTTGTACAGAATCTATCTCATAAGCAATTAAATGGTGCACTACTCCCTTTGTATTCCCCTAAATTGATCCTTCACTCAGAGGGGGAATGCTTTTATATCCTTCTCATTGTGAGGCTAGAAACCATAGTATTTTTGAAAAGTACCTGACAGCTAACAGTAGCAACATACGTGAATTGTGCTTGATAGATACACAGGGGCTAACTCAGAAAGCCGAACTTCACAAGACCATGAACCCAGGCTGCAGTATACCACCTAACACCCCCCAGTCCTAGGTCTTTTATAATTTTCAAATCCTTTTCACATGCATTAGCTCACTCAGCTATCACTATAACCCTGTGAGTCAGACATTATCTCCATGTTAATGATGAAGAAACTGGGGCTCTATGAGATCAGGTGACTTACGCAAGATTCAAGTGGCAGGGATGGGACTGGAAGCCAGGTGCTGCCTCCAAGTTCAGTGTCCTGGGTCATTACCTCACAGCTGCCCCGCTCTAACAGTGTCCTTTCTGCACTGGATAGCGTGGCCAGAGAGGGGTCAGGATTTTCACTTGTAAGTTCTTGGGAAGCAGTGCAGCTTTATTGTCTGAGCGAAAGCCTGCTTTCCTAGAAACACATGGGGGTCCTCAAACTGTCCAATCCATAGAAAATTTCCTAAATAATCAGAGAGCATTGTAGTAGGCATGGCAGGAAAATGTCTACTCTCTTGCTTCATTTGACCAGAATGTGCCAGTATGGGAGTCTAACCTGAGTCAACTATTCTGATCTTCCGAAATAGCGAGCACTCCACCGTACCTTAAATGGCTCTTTTTCCAGGACACGATGTGGAATACTGTGGAGACGATGAAGAGGGCGCACAGGCCCATTCCGTAAATCCATGCCGTTATCTTCTCCCAGCAGTCGTCCGACAGCCGGTGGAGGAGGGCGCTGCCCACGATGGCCGGGACAATGAGGAACTGAGGGAAAGGCGAAGACAAGTAACCATCCTGGCTTCACCAAACTGAGACCTTTGTTAAAAATACATATCCCATTGTCTGGTCAGACCACTCACTGTCTGAAGACATCTCGATTGCTTGCAAGTTTTGGTCATTTTGAGTACAGTTGCTATAAATAAACACCCATGTGCAGGTTAAAAACAAAAATGCATAGGTTTACCAGGGATAATTTTAGAAAGGTCACTTCAAAACAGACATGTGCCTTTCCTGGGTAATCACAGGAGAGCCAGATGAAGTAGTCATTTGCACTGGAAACAGGTACTGCTGTTCAGGGCGTGGAACTGGGCACAACATGAATTCAAGCAAATTTTATTCAATGACGTAGGTGCCTAACCTACATATTGTACTAACACTATAAAATAACTTAGTCTGTTTTAAACACTCTTCATAAAGGAGTAAATTGGTCTCCCTTTCTATTTCTTGTCTTCAGACTATAACCCAGTCACCATTTTCCCCTTGAAAGGCTCACTAAATGCAACTTTCACAGGGAATAATGAAACCAAAATGCAAAAAAGGGGAAATTTATATTGACACAAGAAAACACCAATAATATAAGATTAATAGGAAGACTATGAAAATTACATACATATTCACAAACACTACACATAAAAAAATGAAGAAATGCACAATGCTAAGTTATCTCTGAGTAGTTTTATTTTTTAATACATTTTTCAGTATTTACTAAGCTTCTTAGAAGGAGCACGTTTTGATTTCATAAGAAAAAAAATTAGAATTTAGAGGAGCTTTTTCCTCAGCAATAAGGAATAACATTTGTACTAAGGAGCATGGCCCCCATGGGAGCATGGGGGGTGGGGGGGTAGGTGTGACTACCAGTTTCAGGAGATCATTCAGTAGTTAAAAGCACCCTTTTCTTTTCAATTATATTTTATTAGTTATGCGATTACAGCTGTACCAGTTTCCCCCTCATTCCACCCAGCAACCCCTCGCTCAGGCCATCCACACACCATTGTCCATGTCCATGGGTCACGCACAGGTTCTTTGGCCACTCCATTTCCTGCACTGCTTTACATCCCTGTGGCTATTCTGTACCTACCTATTTGTACTTCTTAATCTCACCTCTTCACCCATTCCTCCATACACCCCCTCCCATTGGATAAACATCAGAACGCTCTCCCTGTATCTATGATTCTGTCTCTGCTCTTTTTTTGCTTAGTTTTCTAGATTCAGTTGTTGATAGATATGTGTTTGCTGCCATTTAATTGTTCATAGTTTTGATCTTCTTTTACTGAAATAATCCCTTTAACATTTCATATAATAATGGTTTGGTGATGATGAACTCCTTCAGTCTTTTCTTGTCTAGGAAGATCTTTATCTGCCCTATGATTCTAAATTTTATTGTGTAGGGCAATCTTGGCTGTGGGTCCCTGCTTTTCCTGACTTTTGAGGATTACTTGCCAATCCATTCTAGCCTGCAGTTTCTTTTGAGAAATCAGCTGACAGTCTCATGGGAATTCCCCTGCAGGTAACTAATTGCTTTTCTTTTGCTGCTTTTAAGATTCTCTCTTTACCTTTAACCTTTGGCATTTTAATTATGATGTGTCTTGGCGTGGGCCTCTTTGCATCCATCTTGTTTGGGCCTCTCATGCTTCCTGGACTTGCATGTCTATTTCCTTTACCAAATTCGGGAAGTTTTCTTTCCTTATTTTTTCAAATAGATTTTGAATTTCTTGTTTTTTCTCTTCTCCTCTGGCACCCCTATGGTGCAACTGTTGGATGTCTTGAAGTTGTCCCAGAGGTTGCTTACACTGTCATCATTTTTTTTTGGATTCTTTTTCTTCATACTGCCCTGATTGGCTGCTTTTTTCTTATTTTCTTATGTTCCAGATCACTGTTTTGACTCGGCTTCATCCACTCCACCATTTCCCTGTGAATTATTCTTTATTTTAATTACTGTATCCTTCGTTTCTGACTGGATCATTTTTATGCTGTTCAGGTCCTCACTAACTTTCTCGAGCATCCATATACCCAGTGTTTTGAGTTCTGCATCTGATAGATTGCTTATCTCCATTTTGTTTAATTCTTTTTCTGGAGTTTTGATGTTCTTTCATTTGGGCCATGTTTCTTTGTCTTCCCATTTTGTTAGGCTTCCTGTGTTTGTTTCTATGTATTAGGTAGAGCTGCTATGACTCCCTGTCTTGGCAGCATGGCCTAATGGGGTAGGCATACTATAGGGTCCAGTGGCACAACCTGCCCTATCACCCAACCTGGGTAATCCAGGTGTCCCCTTCATGTGGGCTGAGTAACCCTCTTCCTGTAGTTGAGCCTTGATTATTGTTGCCAGGTTAATGGGAGGGATTTACCCAAGCCAGTCACCTGCAAGGCCTGGCTGTGACCTGGCACCACCAACCTCCATGGAGGATCACCTGCGCCGGGGCAGGGTGTTGGTGCTCTGACATAGTCTGTAGCTGTCCACTGGGTGTGTAGGCTCTGAGGTTTTCTCAGGTGGTGCAGGCTAAGGTCAGCCACTACCTGTGTTTTGCCTGGGGCCACCCTGCCTGAGCTGTAAAGCAATCTGAGGTGGCTGCTACTTGTGCTGGGCTTGCAGATTCCCAGGTGAAACTAAGCTGTGAATCTAGGCTGGCTGCGGCTAGTGCCAGGCCTGGGGCCCCTTAGCAAGAGGTATGGGGGCTCGGAGCTCACTGAGGCTAGCTGTTGCTCATTTGAGAGGATTTAGGAAGTTGTGAAACATGAGTCAAGACCAGCTATTCCTATGAAAAAGAAGCTTGGGTGGGACAGAGTCTCTGGGGATCTCCAGGGCAGGCAAACAGTGCTAGCTAGGTTGATGGAGTCTCAGATACGGCACCAGCCTGCCGGCTCTGTGGCTCTATGTGGGGAAGGTTCAGAAAAGGGTCAATGACTCTCCTTTCTGGGAGAAGGCTCTCCCTCAGCTCTCACCTTGATGCCTGACACTTCAGTTCTTCCCCCTATGCTACTGGTGCCTTTCAAGCTGCTACCCCGGTGCTAGAGCTCAGAGAGAGTGAGTCTGGGTAGGTCTGTGTGTTCTTTAAGAGGAACTGTTTTGGGACTCCAGAAGTTTCTTCTGCTGACTCAATCCCTGTGGTTTTTGTAGCCAGGAGTTATGGGGGCTTATTTTCCTGGCACTAGAACACTGGGCTGGGGGGCCTGGTGTGGGGCTGGAACTTCTCATTCCCAAAATATCCCTCCTGAATTTTTATCCTCCACATATGGATGTAGGACTAGCCTGTTCCGCATCTCTGCCCCTCCTACAAGTATGGATGGATGTTTTCCTTAATTCTGTAGCTGTCAGACTTCCACCATTCAAGTAGATTTCTGACAGTTCTGAGTGATGGTTGTTCTATATTTTAGTTATAATTTTGATATGGTTGTGTGAGGAGGTGAACTGTGTTTACCTATGCTGCCATCTTGACTGGAAGTCCCAAAAGTACTTTTTTCAACAAACTGTGAGCTCTCCTTGCCGAATGGACATAGCTGGCTGTCTCAAAAAGGTGATTCATTTCATTTCAGGGTAACAGTGTTCATAAATAGTTTTCTTTTGTCTTCCTATGACTAGGGTACTTACTGTTATTCATTTTAAAGACCTTGTCAGAGAAAGCAAGTTCAGGACTGAGTTGAAAACAAGTACAGACTCGACTGTAGGTCAGAGCGCTGGACATGCTCACACAGTTTGTGGTGATATGACCCAGCACTGGTACTCTGGTAAGTTAGGTCACAGAGATAGGTAAATCCAACTAATTGGGTGGAGGTTTCTAGAGATAACTGTTCCTTCCTCCCTACAAAGCCTTTGGGAAGAATGCAAAAGGCATAAAATGCATACTCACTGCATGTGTGTAACAGTTAGCAGCATGTTCGTAACAAGTTGGTTTGTAGCGGCCATTGGCTGGGGCCCGGTGGTTCATGAACCTGTAGAAGCAAAAAGACATCATGTGAGAAGCACTCAAAGCGTATGAAGAAAAGTGGATAGCCTACTCATGGTTCATTTAGAATAAAGAGGTGACTGCTGGAAACACCTAGTTACGACAACAGAACCAAAGCCACTAAACAGGTGTAAACTGAGCCCACAGCAATGATCCAAAAGCAAATGCCCTGGTTTATTCTTTCAGTTTATTCAAAGGAAAAAACCTACCAACCCAAAGCAAACAGAAACCATATCCACCCCCTTCAACTGATACCCACAACACTAAAAAAAAAAAAAAAAAAAAGAAAGAAAAAAAAAAGGCATAACCAAGTCTTAACTCTTAACAGAAAACAAATCAAGGGAATTTTTTAAAACTTTACTAATTCCAGTAATCGCCATTAAATGAAAAGGAATACAATGCATTTAAAAGATTTCTATTTTCTCTCTCAAAATTCATAAAGCTTTATATGTATAGATCTTTAAACCCTACATCCCATGATTAGCCCGCCAGTCCAACTAGTTTCTCTCTGTCACATTCTGTTTCTGGCATCAGACAGCTTAAATAAATGGTACCTGGCTGCCTCTAGGCCACCTAAACAAGAGGTCCATTTTCACCGGCATCCTTCCTGAATTAAAAGAGTTTGCTTCAAAATTTAAATATATGACTAGTGGCTGAAACTCTGACTATAAAATTCAAATATACACACAAATATACATTTTTATACACATTAGATATGTACATTTGTATGTACCTAAATATCAGAATTGTGACACAGATAGACACATACCCACATTCCACATACCCACATTCCATACTTCCCTCTGGGCTAACTCTGCAGCAATCAGCAACACAGCTAAAAGCATGGACACCCCAGAACTTGGAGGGGACAACAGCTTTCTCCCACTTCAGCGTGCAGGGTGGGGTGCCCCCACCCCACCCACACCCATGCCATGTGCCATGAGGGATTCTGGTTTAGTCTGTCTTCTCTGGGAAAAGGAAGATATAAACTCAGGAATATAAACAAGCAGCTGCCTGAAAGAAACAGATGCAGAGAAGCAAATGGAGGTAAGAGCACCAGGCAGGGTTCGGGTCTCAGAGGCCGGGCCGCATTCCTGTGCTCCAGCCTGCGGGATGACAACAACAGGCTCTGCACAATAAATTACCCTTTCCCTTGCGCTACTTTCGGGTGGGGGAAGGGTGGATTTGGTTATTTGCCACTAGGGGCTCTGACTAGTCACACCTCATTAATTAACACGTTGACAAATGGTACCAGGCTGCACTGAATGGCAGAGCCAGGTAGCCAAAAATAGGCAAAAACACATGGTCAAGCCATTCGAAACAGTGTCCAGTTTACGAACAAAAGACCAGCACTTCCTCCCTGAATTAAGAGGGAGCATTATTCTTAGGGCAAATAAATGAAAATAAAATGGCAGTCCTTACTGACCCAATAGAGAGTTCAAAAGGAAAATCCACCGGGGAGTGAATTTGGGAGAGTGAAGGACAACCAACAGGTTAAGCTAACTAGTTTGTAAATACGTGGATATACTTATCGAGTGGAATTCAACAGATGGCCTGAAAACTGCTTAAGAGAAACATGCAGTTAACGGCTTCAGAATTTCTCCAAGCTATTCTCACAAATACATCTTTTCTCCCCTGATAATCCTTTCAATAATTTTACTAATTTCCTAAGGGATGAGAGCATTGCTATACAGCTCTTATTAGTAAAAAAAATAACGACACTCTTGGGGAGAATGCTTTAGAAGTGTCCCAAGCATTCCAGGATCTATCACATCATTACCCTGAGACACGACAACAGAGCTATAAGCGGCACACCCTATTAGGGATTTTAAGGGGTAGAGAGCAGGGCTCCAAGATGGCAAAGGCTAGGGTGCAGCTGAGAGCGCTCTGCGCAGAACACAGCAAGGAGGGTTTGTCTGCCCACCACCAGGCTGCAGACTAAAATAGCAATTTATATCTCTGGCAGCCCAATCTAAAAATAGTCAGACCATTACACAGCAACAAGGATAGACTTTCACATTTTCTCCCAAAAGCAAAGAAGCTGGGTGGCCATGTTTGTTCCGGCTTCGTCCCTGCCCACCTGGAATCACTCAGGTTAAAAATAAACTCAGAAGTTGTGGTGAAAAATATGCCACCTATGTGACTTCAGGTAGTTTCTGTTATGGACAGAGCCAAAATTGGGCTATAGGGAGAGGTGAGAACAACTACGCTAAGAGCAGATCACTGTCTGGGGCTAGCGGGGTAGAGAGCACACCTGCGTAGTTGGGAAATGTACGATGTAATTTTCCCATTTCTCCCTGTCCTGTCAGGGTACAATCTAGCCACTTGCTGAAGAAATCACTCCTAAGATCTAAGCGATGTAAAGTGCAAATCAACTCCCACACACTGAGCCTACTTGCTCCCCCCCACCCAAAATAAGGAAGTTTCTCAAATGTTATGGAAAGCAGCACCCATTTATGCAAGGCCCCTCTATTTAAGGCTAGGCAACCCCAACAGTGACCCAGTGCTAGGCTCGAGTATTCCACAGGCTTTAGAGGGTTTGAGGAAAGGTGATTTAGCTTTGGGTATGGAAACCACACTCACTAAAACTACTGTTTAGGCAGGGTTTGTTCATGCATTTCCTCACTTTCTCCTTCGACACGTTCCCTCACTTCCCCCTTGCCCAGTGTCCTTAGGCCCACCCTGCCCCCCACCCCCAAGATGGAATTTCAAAACTGTGGGAAAAAGAACAGATAGGGCCCTAGAGGCCCTCCTCAGCACACTTTAAATTTAGCCACAAGCACTGTGCCTCCTGAAGGTAGATCTGCGCTCCACCAGCAGATCTCAGAGGCCTAAGATCCAATCCCGGAAGTTGTCCTTGATTCCTAGGTATTCTTTATTCTCCAAATGCAAGTGCTGTCAAATACATTTCACACCAGCCTACCTCTCTACAGTTCCAAAGATCCTACCCTACATCAAGACATGGATATCTCTGGTCTATAAAAATACCAATACTTTTACTGGGTCTCCCGGCTTGTCCCCACATAGGTTCTCTACACAGCAGCTGCAACAGCCTATTAAAACCAGACCACCTCACATGCCCTCCCCTAATTTACAGCCTGCCTCTGACTTCTCAAAGTGGTCCCGGAGTGGTCCACAGCCTGCAGTAGTCCAGCCCTCACCTCTTCCCCAGCCTCAGGGTCCCGCCTTCCTCTCGCTCCCCACCCTCCAGCTACGCCTCCCATCTGCTCCTCAAACCACCAAGGTCTTGTCTGCCTAAGGATGTCTGTATTTGCTATGTATTTCTGTCTAGAACATTCTTCTCCAGAAAGCTCAGCTCTCCTCCCTTTTCAAGCTCGGCTCAAATGTCACCTCCTCAGGTTTTCCTCACCACCCCACCTAAAGTATCACTTCAGCCCTCCCCGCCCCAACAGCCCTTATCATATTCAGTAAGATGTTTTAAACTTGTTTTTTTATTTCATCTTTCCCCTCTGGAACATGAATTCCATGAAGGCCACCTGGTCCGCCATTTCATTTCTGATCCCAAGCACAATGCCCACTTTATTGCTGAAGCTTAATATTAATAGGCGCTGAATGAATGAATAGAAAGGCGGACATTGTGGCTTAACTGTTTCATCTTAACCGAGAGATATCCCACTGTCACTGGGAATATAGCAGGTTTCTGCATGTCACAAAGAGAAACAAACTCTCTTAGAACCAAAAGAACTCAACCTTGTATAAAGAAAATTCTTAAAGGCCTAGACCACAGACATTCTAAGGGCTTCTTCAACATCATCTGATGGGGCAACGTAAGCTGAACCCTGTGCACGGTAACTTATTAGTTCCCTTTTATGAAATGAGCATATTGCCAGAGGTGGTAGCAGTGGTCAGGGGGGCATTTAATTATTAAATAAGGGAGAAGGCATTTTTAGGAACACTACCCCATGCCTATGATTCTGCGCTCTGAGAACATGTGCAAAAAAGACAACAGGCAGTTCTGGCAGACTTCCTAATGCTTTAGAATAAGATGTTTCACCTCCTATTCAATTTGAATGGTCACAAGACTGGGGCTGAGGAAAGAAGCATCCCTTTCCCTGGTTGTTCAGTTGCAAGGCTGGGGAAATGAGCCTGCATCAACAAGACAGGGTAGACCGGGGTCCTTGGCCCCTACAGTGCACACGCAAACATTGCAGGGTGTGCGGTGAGACAGAATGAGGTGAGCTGGCAGCATGGGTGATAAAAGGGACAAGAAACTGAACCTTTGAATCTGCCCTGTCCTAGCCGTGTGACCAGGGCAAGTTCCCTTTTATTCTTGGACCCTATTTTTCTTCTGGTAGACAGATATAAAACTTGTCTTCCAGGGTTACAGTTGAGGATTAGATGAGCAATAGACAAGGGTAGGCAAAAGCAGGCTTACAGTTGTTCATATGGAAAAAGACATGCAGGTTATAATTATTACAACAGCTTTATTAACTCAAAAAAAAATGTCACAACTTTAAACCTTCTTTTTTTGCCCACCTGCTGTACAAATACCCAGCCACTACCTGGCAAAAGTTGACACTCAAGGGTAGCGGTTATTCTGAGCAGTCAGAGGCTGTGAAAGGGCGGGAACGACTGGCGGGAGGACTGAAATGTAGAAGAGATAAAGCAAAAAAGGTGCTATGCTGGGCCCCGGCGGCATTTTTCATATCCTAAGCTTTTTTTAAGCAGCTGTGCGTGCATAAAGCCCCCCACATAGGACAGTGGGCTACGTTTCCTTACAGCCCTCCTCCGCAGCAGTGGCAGAACTCTGCAAGTTGATCCGAAGCTACAATGACCGCCAAGTTTCTGTTAAGAGCAAACCAGCAGGATGTTCAGGTTTTTTGTAATTTAGGCAGAGCCACAAACTACGGCCTGATAAAATGTTTTTACTGCAATCAAATGCTCTTCAACTGAGTCCTGATAAATCTATCAGAAGGAGCACACGCGTTACAGACAGCGTTGCTTCCCTCTGGTTCCTCTGCAATTTACCCACCTGCAACGATCCCGAATGCTCAAAAGATATATAATGAACATAGCTTTAAATGTTGAGAAAATAGTACACCTAACATCTCAATGTGTGGACCACAAAAACCAGGACTTTTTTTTTTGGTGTACTTTTCCTTTCAGGCTTTATTTCTAAATTCAAATTGACCCTTAGAAATAGCTTTCCAATCTAGCCTATGTTACAAAAACAAGAAATTATGGGATGACTCAGTCTTCAAAGAAAATCAGGGTAGGTCTAGATGTCATCTGGGAAATAACTGTTAAATAGCCATTGATATTGTGCAGCCACTGGGAAAATTACAAAGTCTATGCTGCAGCAAAAGAAAATATCTCTATTTTTCATTTTTAAATGAATAAAGTAGAGTGCAAAATCACATTACAACTGTGGTAGGTTAGGGTCCAGCAAAAAGAAGATACGTCAATCAGTTGAGACAGTCCTAAATGACGTGCTTTCTTTTTCATTTCTCTTAACACTATTTTAATGTTTGTGCAACAAGTAGTGAAACAGGCCCTTTTCTTTCTTTCTAGAGTATTCAAAGGATAGGAAAGAAATACAAACTCTTAATCAAATAAGGAAGGGTAATTTCACGGAATACTGCTGTTGTTCTCTGAAAACAGGAAGAGCGCAGACATGTAGAAGTAAAACCAAATCAAACAAACCACATGCACAGGGCTTTGCCAATCACGTCTGAGTGCATGTTACATTTTCCCTTAAAAGGACCCCAGTTTTCATTCCTGACTTCGTGGTCCAAAGCCAGCAGAACATCACGGTTTCTTTTTGCCTTTTGAAGCACTGATACGATGTTCCCAGTGGGGGCACAGTGCCAGGCATTCAACACCTTGAGCGACATTTAGAAGTTAATCCAAGTCTTCAAACTGATGGCCCTTCTCACGGCATAGTCCACCACAACTCTTCCTATTCCTTTTTGGCTCCTTTAGCCTTTGGGACTAAGGGGCAGAATGAAATAAGAATAATGGGTGAGTGGGCATTGAGGGATTAAGAAATTGGTAAGAAAATAAATGCACTTTAAATTTTTAAAACAGAGGGCCGTGCCTACACAGTCAACAACAACCTCCTTGAAAGATTGCGCGCATTCCTTCTCTGCAATTCCCCCGTCACTGCACACTTAGCTAGCTTGCTGGCGAGGTATGGGAATGGAAACAGCTGCCTGATTCAGACAAAGAGATGGAGAATTACCACAAACAAGGGGAGGTGAACTTTCACCTACTTAAACGAAGAAGAATTAGAAAAAAATGCTCAGAGCTTCCTTTCCGAACCTCGGGCCAGCCTCCATCCACTGCTCAGTGGCAGAGACCCGGAGTGGAGATTAAGGCCACGGTGCCTCCCCGGACTGGCGTTCTCACGAGCTCTCCAGTCAATGAGCAGCCAGCCATCCTTCCGGTGGCGCCTCCTCATTTCCTCACCCAGGCGCCCCAACAGCAGATCCTACCACCCGAATGCTAACTTGGCCCCTTCGCCATACCCAAAATAGCACCGCCCTAGGGCGCTAAATAAGCCTGAGGACCATCAAGGCCCAGACAGGGCCGGGCAAGCTCAATCTGTGCAGCGTGCCTCAGTTTCCCTGTTGCCAGAGCCCTCTTCAAAGTACCAAAAACGCCCAGCACCCCAGCGTCACCACAGGTCTCGCTGCAGGGCGCAACTACCCGGCCCTGCTTCTTCGAGCATCAGAGCCCCTCTGCGCTGTGGGTAAAGGGGTGGCGGCCAAAGTCAGGGTCTGAGGACCCGGAGGCGACGCCTGCAGCTGGGATTCGGGTCTAGAAGCATGCAAGAGACCCGCCTGGACGGGAATCGGGCGGTTAAATCGGGTGAGCAGTGGGATCCCCCGGGAGGAGGGCAGGCTGGGGGTCCGGGATCTGAAAATCCGAGGATAGCAGTTCAAGAGAGGGAGCCGCGGGTCTGGCACTAGATCTCAGTCCTCGAGGGAGGGGATCGCCTAGGGACTGCAGGGAATCCCCCAGGAGCTGGTCCCCGGCCAAGGCTCGGGATCCACGGGGGGATGGATCCAGGTGAGGAGCCGCGACCCACACACGCACGGGAGGAGGTGGGATCTGGGACCCGTTCCTAGAACGGGCGGTGGCTTGGGGGCTCCATCCCTCTCACCGCTGGAATCGATTCTTGAACCGCATTGATCCTCAGCTCCTCCTCGCGGGCCGGGAGCTCCGTCTCGTCAGCGCCGGCGGCAGGGCGCGCGGCCCTCATGGGCTTGGGTTGCTCTGGAGGCCGCCCGGGTGCCCGGAGGACCGCTCGTCAGGGCAGGGCCGGAGCGGGCCAGGCCGGTGGTCGGGTTAGGGCCGGGGCCAGACCGGGCGGCTGGGGGCGGGAGGGAGGCCGCTTAAACGGCCCCCGCACCTCCCGCCTCCTGCCTCCCGCCTCCCAGCTTCTCCGCCCCCGAGCACCCGCGCCCCGCCCCGGAGCCCGGCTCCGTCCCCGCTGGCTCCGCCCACCTGCGTGCTCCCCTAGCTGTCAGCGCGTCACCGAGCCGGGCGGCCAATCAGCACCTCGAGCGGCGCGGCGGCAAAGCTGCCATTCATTTCGGCGGAGCCGGGGCGGAGGGGCGGAGGGGCGGAGGGGCGGAGGGGCGGAGGGGCGGAGGGGCGGAGGGGCGGAGGGGCGGAGGGGCGGAGGGGCCCCGCGGCGGAGGGCCGGGGCCGGAGGGGAGGGGGTGGAGAGGAAGGCTAGAAGGGCAGCTGTCTTCTTGGGCCGTAAAAATAGAAGAGGCAGAGGGGAGAGAAAGAGAAATTATACAGGAGGTAGTGAGCCAGGAATCTTAAAAGCAATTGTGAAGAAAATAGCAACAAAGAGCCCCCAGGTGTATTGTAACACTGGCTATGTGTCATTCATTCATTCTTCATCATTCATTTCCTCATTCCTCTTCTGTTCATTTATTCCTTCATCATTTTGAGGGCTAGCTTCCACTAGGCTAGTGTGCGAGGCTCCAGAGCAGATTTAAAAACCTTTCCTTGTCTGCCATGTGTTGAGGAAGTTGAGATTATCTTTCCCTGAGATTTAATAGAAACCACAAACGGAGGTATGCTCTAAAGGGACCCTTTATGTTGTCCTCCAATTTTTTTTTTATTTTTATTTTTTAATCCAAGCAGTTTCCAAATAAACCGAAAAAGTACACTTGAATCAGGTCCTGATGCTGAACCTAAACTCAGAGAGCTTGCTTGAAGAGAGGTTCTAAGGAAAGTGGATGATGGGTCACTTTTTGATGCTTTCCTTTATCGTTCCTGGAATTTAGGTGTGCTCCCCTCCAGGTAGTCTGCCCACACCCTTCCCCCCAACACTCCAAATTGGCAACTCTCAAGGGGACATAAGGGCAGCCTGTTTGGAGTGTTTACTGTACGTGCAGTGGCTCACTGAAAAGCTGGGAATTCTTTCACGCATAATTCTAGTTTCCTTTCCTCTAACACCTTCCCAATTGCTTGATGTAAAGGGTGTTTTCCAAGGTTATTTCATTAATCCCCCCACCCCTAAGTCCAAGAGATCTTAGTTGTTATTTTACATTATCTTACTCATTTCACAGACAAGGAAGCCGAGAGGTTTAGAATCTTGCCAAAAACAAAACTAGGATTTGTACCTAGCTTTGTCTAACAGTTAAGCCCCTAAATCCTTTCAGTACACCTGACTGACTCTCCCTAAGTTTTAAAGTAGTATGTCTCTTCAAAAGAACAACAACAACACTTTTTTTTCTACTCCAAGTCAAAAAAAATAAGGATGGGTTGGAAATTTTACTAACCTGTTCTGTCAGGCCACAGGACAAAATTAATTGGATGGGGGAGGGGAAGGTTACAAAGGAAATAACAAAAACATTAAAATTAATGGTATGAAATAACATAAGAAGCGTTAAAAAAACAATGCATCAACAGATGCTAGGTCATATCCCATCAATGACTTTGGAACGCGCGAGGATAAGAAGCCTTTAGAGTGTGGTAAGGCTAATTAGGGAAAGAGGAGCCGGAGAGAAGGAAGTCTGGAGAGGGGTACTGAACGAGATGATGGGGCATGAGTTGGCACAGCCTTTCATACGGGGAGAATGGCTTGAACAAAGATGAGAACTGGTCAGTATGGAGGCAATTTATGAGACGCCACTTAGGTTTAGAAACACCATTGTGAATACAAATCAGATTAATAAGTGAAAAAATAAGATACAAATCAGATTAAATTGATAGAATAAAATACCTTGACCTACAGTGGTCTCTTTCACAGAAATGCAGGAATATTAATGGAAAGTGAAAGTGTTTAAACAGTATGATCACAAATTCAAATCAGACTCATTGTTGGTGAAATGTTCCCCCCAAAGTAAAAGCAATCCTCACAGGATAAAAATACAAGAACCTGCTTTGAATTAATTTTTTAAACACCTGCCACATTTTTTTTTCAGTGAGGTGTCCTTTTGAATCTGTTCCTGGGAAGAAATCCTGAATATGTTTGTAGAAAAGAGGTACTAGGTTCAAGTTAGAGATTAATGTGTGCAGTGGAGCAGAAGAATGTGGAAAGTTTTTTGAACGAGCATGATATGACATTTTTGTTGAGCTCAGAGAAATGGTTCTTCTTTCTGCAAAACTGCAGACGCACATTTGCATGGGCACTACCTGTGCCCAGAAGATAGGCTTTGTAATGGAGCAGGCGCCAGCTCAGAGAAAACTCTTGGGAGAACACCTGCCCTGCCCGCCGAGGGACACAGAGTTCCTGGACAGGATGTGACCACACTAGGAAACACCTGGAATCTAGTTCTCTGGCGCTGATGGCCCAATCAGAAAGTAGCAGCTCTGCTCCAAACTGATTTCGGATGCCCCGGGAAGGTTGCCTGAACTTGACTGCAGGTCTTGTTCTGTGCCTGGCGTTCAATTGCTCTCTTCACAAAGATGACAAAGCAGTTATTAAAATGTAAGAGCATCCAGCCTTTCCCCATTCCTGAAAAGAGGAATGCTGTCTTTCCATACTTAGTCTTTCGTCTATGTTCCATGATGATATGGTCTGAATGTTTGTGTTCCTTCCCCCCAGCATGAATATGTTGAAATCCTAATGCTCAATGTGATGGTATTAAGAGGTGGGGCCTTTGGGAGGTGATTAGGTCAACCACTGCTCTCATGAATGAGATTAATGCCCTAATAATAGAGGTCTGAGAGAGTTCCCTGGCCCTTCCACCATGTGAGGACACAGGGGGAAGTCAGCAGCCTGCAACCAGGAAGAGAGCCTTCACCAGAATCTGACCATGTTGTCTCTCTGATCTTGGACTCTCAGCCTCCAGAACTGAGGGAAATAAATTTCTATTGCTTATATGCCACCCAGTCTGTGATAGTTCATTACAGCAGCCCAAACAGACTGAGATCTGACCTTTAAGAAGTACCCATCTCCTTCCTGCCTTGTTTCTGGATTTTCATGATGGAAAAAAAAAATGGGAAGAAAAAGAGATCTGGAGAGAAAGGAAAGGCCTTGATAGCTAGGCTATATTGATCTACATGATGAAGATAAGAGAAAAAATGTTTCACAATCTAGGGGACATTGGTAAAGGTATTTTGTGAGATGGGAGGAATTTATCTAAGTAAGAGGATTCATGGAATTATAAGAAGTGAGAAGAATAGGAAAAAGATTGTGAGAAGCTTTGCTAAGGGTATGATTTGGATACCCTCATATTTTCCCTTCTTTATTAGTGCCCCTTCTTTATTATTCTTGGCTGTTTGGTTGTATTTATTTGAAAGTGATTTATTTCAGAGACTGGACCAGATAGAAGAGGGATGTGATATGATTACACAGATTCAGCATTTTGAGTGCCTAACATGGTCTTGGAACTTTTACATCTATTTGCCCATTTTATCCTTAAACTATCCTCTGGGGTAGTTAAGATCATGTCTATTTTATAGTGAAAGACATGAAAGCTTAAGTTTTGTGAGTTACTTAAACTTACGAGTGCAAATGAAAAAGTCCAGATCTGAGCCCAGGCTCTCTTCCCCCAAGGCCAGTGCTCTCCCCGTCCAGCCGTCCCTGGGGGGGCTGGTGGTCAGACAACCTGGACTTACATCTCTTGTGCCTGTTTATAGATTTCTTCCCCATCGAGGAAAAAAAAACCCTAAATGATTCTCTAAAAGCACAGACAAGTCATGTCAACTGTTACTACAGTTCTTGTGAACATGGAAAAGAGAATTACATTGTGTATCACTCTTAAACATCTGTGTCTCCAAAGTTCTGCATTCTACGGGAGCTACCATATCTCTCACTCCCAAACAACCCCACTTCCCATCCAATATTTCTTCGCCACGCCAGCAGGGAAAACCCTCCACCTCCAGAAGGTCTCTCTGTACCTATTCTCACAAAAAGAAATTTGGTCTTTCTCTTTGGGCTCAAATCGTTTGCATCCCAACAATCTGCTGAGCAAAACCAAGGGCCTTCACGGGGATCGATCTTTAGAAGACACGGGAAGGCAAGGGATTGAAAATAACTAATAATGTATTGTTTTTCTGTATCACATGGTTACTCAATGAGCATTTATTGCAAGTCTAATGATATACAGGTGCCAGCTACAAAGTTGAGTAAGATGCCCTACCCTCAAGGAACCTCCAGGCAGCAGGAAAGAAACAATTGACTGTAGATCACTGTTCAGTTTGTTAAGTGCTGTGATGGAGCATTGTTCATAATGATAAGAATCTTTAATGATATTCAGGTGGCGCAGGGAAGGGGCCTTTGAAAAGGAGACGGCATTGGAACTTAGTACTGAGTGATTAGATGAGAGAGAATAAATAATTAAGCAATAAAAAAGTTGACATTTAAAGGAAAGAGAGCACAGCATATGCACAAGCACTGTATGTCTGAAGACCTCAATTCCACATGATACAAGTGAAAGTCATTTGTGAAGTATAGTAGATGGAGGGGTAAGAAGGGTTCCGATTAAACAAAGGACTGATTAAACCAAAACTTGGAGTTTATACTGAAAGCAGTAGAGACCCATTGAAAAACTTTAAACCACAAATGAGGTGATTAGTTTTATATTTAGAAAGATCTCTGTGATAAAATGTGTTCAGAGAGTAGCCTGAAGGGGTGCAGACAGGGTTGATAGTTGTCTCTATCAGCTCTGTCCAGCAGAATTTCCACTGATGATAGAAATCTTCTGTCTGTGCTGCCCAATAGCGTAGCAGATAGCGCCTTAAGCCACTGAGCACTTGAAATGTGTCCCGTGCATCTGTCCCGTGCATTTTTACTCTTATCTAATTTAATACATTTAAATTTAAATAGCCACATGTGGCTAGTGGCTACCACATTGGGTAGCACCATTATATATCTTTCCCCTTTTTTCCTATACTAATAGAAGCCCTAATTGGGAGCACATGGAGTCCCAGAATAAAGCTCACATATTCTGTAAGCGTGGGCCCTATGACTAAGTTCTGGGCAATG